TGAAATTTTATTTTACCTCATAAATTAATTTTAATATTGGTGGGATTTGCCAAGCGGTAATCTGAATATATCATTTGTTGCGGGTGGGCTCATCGATAAGTAAAGATCTCATTGGACGATACTGGAAAGCAGAAAACAGTTAATGTCCATCATGTGGCACTGATTGAGTAATTAAGCTGAACATATTATATTTTGGTTGATATTGAATGACATATTACTTAAGCGTTGGTACAGATAGATAGAGATGACTAATGTCAAGTCATTTTGTATAAAATGGCCCTATCAAGTAACCCTGATACAGCGGACAAAGTCGTTTGTATTGAAAACAAACAAATCAATAATTTTAAAAGTCAAAACACGTTCAGGGCGTAACAAATTGTAAATTTTTGAGGTTTAAAATGAGTTCTCAAGATAGTATTCAGACTCCCAAATTTTTTATTCAATTAGTGAAGGGTTTATTGGTTTGTTTATTGGCAAAAGTACATTGGGCTATCTGCTGTGTACACCGCGAGGAATCGAACTCCGAATTTAAGGGTTGTAAGTCCAAAAACGTACCTCTGGCTCACCAGGTAACTTAGTGAAGGAAGAAACATCTGAATTTTAATTAGTTTTTACTTTTATTTATAAATTGATTATTAAATTCTAAATGACTCACAAAGTATTAAGAAAGCATGCCAAGAAATGCTTATAGACCACAAAAATTAGTCGTTATTAGTATACTTCCTTAGAACTCCGATGAGTCAGCGGTAATTTTACAGACTTCGGACGCTACAATCCAGGTTTCGATTCCCCGCGGTGGGCATTGCACAATTAAATAAAGAACAACAACAAAACAACATGCTTTCTTTTTTGTTGTTGTTGTTTCTTCACTATAATTTTAAGCAATTATAAAATAAAAAGCTCAAGTCGTTTTTTTTTAAAGAACCTCTTAATGTTACCCTTACTATTCCTTCATATTCACTATTCAAGCTTCCAGCTATGAACAATTAACATTGAGTTTAGGTTTTAATACACAGAGTTTCTTCAGTTGTAAGTTCTTCAGTGACCCGGCATGGCCACCAGGTTGTTAGGACGCTTTACTCGCAATCTGAGGGTCGTGGGTTCGAATTCCCGTCCCACCAAACATGCTCGCCCTTTCAGCCGTGAGTGCGTTATAATGTGACGATCAATTCCACTATTCGTTGGTAAAAGAGTAGCCCAAGACTAGCTGCCTTCTCTCTAGTCTTTCACTGCTAAATTATGGACGGCTAGTGCAGATAGTCCTCGTGTAGCTTTGCACGAGATTCAAACTAAGTTCTTCAGTTTTCCTTGTAACACTTTACCATATTCTTTTTTCATTTGCTGCTACTTTACATTCGCTATCTAGGTGTCTGTAAGACCCTTGAAGGACCAGACAGAGTTGGTTGTAAGCTCTCTTAGTCGGGAAACAAAATTGGCGAATAGATGGTCAACATAATCTTGTTGACAAGATGTATTATTTTGAAAAGTTTGTTTGTTTCTTTGTAATTAAGCACAATGCTACACAATGGGCTATCTGTGCTCTGCCCACCACGGGTAATGAAACCCCGATTCTAGCGATGTAAGTCCGCAGACATACCGCTGTGCCACTAGGGGGCATTTTGAAAAGAAAAGATAGTAATTCTCAATAAAGATTTAAAATCCAAACAAACAGACAGTTGTGTGTAATTCAAACATAAAGTCTTCCCGATTTTGATTCTCAACATGCGACTCTTTGCTCATCTATTATAATAATACTCAGTTTTTGTCTGTCATGAAAAATTCGCGCGCACTTTATTTCAGAGGATATAAATATACTTTAGTAGGTATGTTGTACGGCAACATATTAATTGATTATTAAAGTTTTTAAAAGGATCTAACGTTAAGTCGTAAAATAACATTATAAGTTTATTTATTGATAGTATTAGGTACGGTAACGTTTAACCATAACTAAACGAAAACGTACACAAGTTACAGTGTTAATTTATCTCTTTATCGAATGTAGGCCGTTCTTAATAAAGGTTGAACTAATGTTAGGCCTAAGACAAGTGGACTTATAGATTTCGGTTTCTGCGATAAAATTTTTTTTAGTATTACTCTATAAATCCTGTATTTAAAGAAGTACTATTGCGATAAAGAAATTTGACCGCAAATATTTTGCGAGTCTCTGATATTACTAGCATAAAATACATGCACTCCGCTGCGGGGCTCAAAGGCCTCCCTTATGATTCACAAAGGCCCCAATTTACTGATCAAGCTACTCCATTATCCCAATGACTTCCGTGACTACCCTATGGAGGGGAGGATCCGTACCCAAAATCAAATCTTGTTAGGAAACCTGCCCATGGTACATGAGCACATATAGATCAGGACACCGTCCTTCCTACCGCCTGCAAAGTTTGGTCCTGCTAGCTCCAAAACTGTGGCAGGAGTTCGTGGACAAGTAAACGAATTCACAAACACACATTTTGAATTAATATATTACATACTCATTAATGGTTACCCAACAAAGAATTTGGCATATCATACTTTCTAACTTTGGGGGTGTCAGATTATTTCAGAACTACTTAATAATTACGAATAACTTATGACCATTTTTTAAAATACAATACTTTCATTTCTTTACGAGACAAATAATTACTTATGGCAATACGATAAGCTTCATACAAATTCAAATACTCAAGAAATTCTTCGAATATTTGAAAAATTCAAAACTATCAATATGGCTGAAACATTCTCAATATTTTCGTTTATGATAGGTAGTTGTCTTAAACTTATTATCTGGGTTTTCTTAATTTAGGTAATAATTTTAAGACAAATACGAAGTTTTTCTACTGTAAAATGATACGGAGGCGTTTATTTAAATTTTACCTCTGGAACACAAAAATTAAGCTAAACTAGGTTTCAGTTTCGATACCATTGCTCCTCCATCAATTTTAAAATGTGGTTTTATAGCTGGAAACTTCATTAATTTTCCTAAACTTTGCATAAACATTTTAGAGATTATATTTAATAAAAAATAAACAAACTTAAACTTAATGTGGTAAATATCTTGGTCTAAAATGAAAGTATAACTTTCTTTCTTTTTCTTTCACGTAAGTGTTTTATGTTGTAGAAAAATATCCTGGAATTCCGGATGTTAAAGCACAGACTGTCGAACATAGAAATCGAAATATGTGTAGATAACTAGGTAGATACACTGATGTGAAAGCGTGTGACGTGGGTACTTGTGTGTGTGCACGCGAATGACACGAGGTATGTTTATTATAACATAAGGTACTGCTGTACAAAGTACAGTAGCCGTGGTAAATGTCTTTAGTCTAAGAAAGTCAATATCTTAAAATTTACGGTTTAAACGCTGAAAACTAGCGAATCGTTATATCCTGATAGACCTAAAATGTATGATAAAAATCACGTATCGTGCAGATGATTTTCAATCTGGAATTAAGAAGATTGCAAAAACATATATAATTGCACTTTGCTTAGCTAGTAAACTATTTGTCAGAATACGCAAATGTTTCCTTCGTTTGATCTATTTTTATGATGAGTTTACTCAAGAATGTACCATCGGAAGTAAAAGGAAAAATAAAACACCTGGTGGTCGACAAGGGATACATTTCAATACTTATTTAAAGGTTAATCAATATAGTTAGTCTGACCATGCTGTTTAAACAACTCTACTTATTCAATTATGTACTAGCTGTCCACTGTCAGCTAACAATACGAAGAATTAAATTGTGGCGGATTGCTACAAGTTCTTCAAATACCTCTAGAATGATAGGTTTCTTTTTTGTGAGTGTAAAACACGTAAATACACCAGTTTGATTTTCGATACCTCTCTAGTATGAAGGCTTGGTTTGGTCTGATATTTCATTGGTGGTAGTGTCCATGGTCACTGATGAGGAGAGAAATTCTCCGAAACTAGTCGGGATCATAGACACACACCCCCAATGAAAGAATAGACCATTCCAAGCTTTAACGTGTTGTTAAACAAATGTTTAAACAACTGTATTTATTCAATTACGTTTCATTTTGTTGCGACAACAGACTGAGGGCTATTAAACGGACCGTGTCTTGTGTAGTATTATTGCATTCTCGGACTTGGAATCTGAAGGTTCATGCTTCGTAACTCGATGCCGCAAAAACACGCTCCACACTCAAAGAGTTAAGGTCAAATCCCACTATTTGCCCACACATGAGTAACTCAAGAGTTGGCGGTGGATGTTGTCGACTAGCTGTTTTCCCTCTAGTTTATCAGTTCAAATTAGAGGAGTGGTATTGGCAGATATCACTCTTGTAGCTTTGCGTGAAATTTTGAAACAAACCAAAATCCAAATCTCAGTATTTGAGGTTTAAAAAGAACGCGAATTCAACATTTTTATGAACTCATTTTGGAAATCAAAGTTTCCAGATGAATTCTTAAAGTTATCTTTAACATTTCTGTCACTGACCATCCATCTCCCTGCCGTGAAATGACCTATTTCGAATATTTAAATTAACTATTTACGAAAATCAGCTACAAAGAAAACTTAAGTTGTATTTTCTTATTTCAAATATAATTTTATCTATACTTTTGATTAGACTTTAATTTTTTGTGAAGTGGACGACGTTTCATCAGAACCGAAACTTTGTGCCCCCCAGTGGCCTAGCGGTATGTCTGCGAACTTACAACGCTAGAATCCTGATTTCGATACCCGTGATAGGCAGAGCACAGATAGCTCTTCGTGTAGCTTTGTGCTTAACTACAAACAAACAAACCGAAACTTCGTGCACTTACAGACTCCATTAAACCAATACAACCTACCATTTGTATAAAACACATTTGATTATTAAGATAAAAACACGTAATAATAGATTACATGTATATATTTAGTTAATTTTACCTTCTTACAGACATGAGATATGAAACAACCCCCGCTATGTTGTCTAAAACAACTTGCTTTACCACTTACTACGTCGTGCTAATTTCCTTCTATACCACCATTGTTTTTTTTTCTATTTAGGTGAGTGTGCCGACGGTAACCTATGTCACCACAACTGCTATGATCTTCATGATGGCACCTTCGAGTGTTCTTGTGACGAAGGATATACTCTCGCTAAAAACGGATATACTTGTATAGGTAGGTCTTATAACATTGAGAACCTTAATAAATGTTCAGGTGTTCAACTTTGTAAACCGACAAATACTAAAATCAGAAGAATTAACGTGAATTGGAATGTCAGTAACTGGATGCACCATTGCAATCAAAAGTTAGGTAGCTAACTATAGATTGGAGGTTGAATGAACATATTTGAATATAATAAGGTTTAACGTCCATTAAGCTCATTTAACTCTTATTCTAATGTTTGTTTGAAGTTAAGCACAAAGCTACGCAATGTGCTGTCTGTTTCTAGCGTTGTAATTCCGCAGACATGCTGCTGTGCTACTAGGGGGCAACTCTTTATCGACAGACACAATTATTTTGGAGTTAAATTGTGTCATTATTACCGTCATCTGTTCATTAAATTTAAATGATTTTCGCCGTCAACTGTTAGTTGATAGTCAACCAGCAAAGATTTAAGCAGAAAATGAACTCTGAAACGTAGCCAATCCTTACTGTCGAATTGTTTATTCGTCTCGTTTTGTGATAAGTTCTGAAACAAACAAAAGATCCGTTCGCGTATTTCACTGTAACGTCCACCTGTTTCATCTGTCTTCATAAATGTTTAAACTACAATTATTTCCAACTTGCTAAAGCTTTAAATTTATTTTACTACCAGCAATAGCTTGAGCTCGTGTTTTGAAACCCAGAATACAAGTGAATAGAGTGCTTCGATATAGAATGTAAATAAAAAAAACCTCTTTAAAGCCAGTATTAAGTGTTAAGTGTGCAACGGTTTCCTTAACTTGATAAACGATTAAAGCTCCTGTCATGTTCAAAATAGAAGATGTAAAGTAATAGAAGTGCACTCATCTTCTGATTAAGAGCTGGGTGAAGTGATAGAAGTGCACTCATCTTCTGATTAAGAGCTGGGTGAAGTAATAGAAGTGCACTCATCTTCTGGTTAAGAGCTGGGCGGCCCGGCATGGCCAGGTGGATAAGGCGC